ACTGATATGTAGTGATTTATCATTGTCACGTTATTTACTTGCGTTGGCGTCCTACTTTTTCTACCTGTTTACTTGTTTGCTCTTCTTGACGGTTCATTCCTACTGTTGTTTTTGAGATTGCCGTCAGATTTTTCTCTGTCCAGAATATCTTTTAGTACTGTTTGTAATGCTGGCTTGGTGCTCGTGAAGTTCTTCAATTGTTCTTTGTCATGGAAATATTTTATTTCTCCATTGAATTTGAGGGATAGTTTGGCGGGGTATATCAGTCTTGGTTGGAAGCTGTTCTGTCTCAGGACCTGTAATATTTCACTCCAAGTTCTTCTCAATTGGATGGTTTGTGCTGAGATGTCTACTGTAATTCTGATTGGCTTCCCTTTATAGGTAATCTGTTTCTTTTCTCTAGCAGCTTTCAATATTTTGTTCTTTTGTTGGAGATCTGGGAACTTGAGTATTATATGTCTGGGTGTAGTTTTATTTTGGTTGTGGTTGTCTGGAGTTCTAAATGCCTCATTTACTTGTATATCAGGTTCTGTTTCCATGCTTGGGAAATTTTCTGCTATGATTTCTGCAAATAATCTTTTAATGTGAGTTGTGTTGCTTCCTGCTGTTTCATTGACTCCTATAATTTGAACATTATTCCTCTTTGCCTCATCTTGCAGTTGTTGAATTGAGTTTTCCTGGATCCTTGCTGTTTTTACGAGACCCGTTCTTTCATGGTTGCTAGCTGCCATGCTGTCTTCAAGGTCTGAGATTCTATTTTCAGCTTCATTCACGTGGTTTTGGTAGCTTTCAGTGGCAGCTTTGTTTTCTTGGAAGTCTCTTAGAATCTGGTTCATGTTTTCTAAGTCCTTTCTATGTTTTTCATTGAATGCTTCTGATTCTTGTCTTTGTTCTATTTTCTTATATATTTCTTCTTCAGACTTTTTGGGCATTTCCTTCATTATTCTTGTCATTTCACTTTTTGCCTGAGAGATTATTTCTTATCTCATCCCTTCTATGGCCTAATGGAGTTGTTTCTTTACTTCCACTGCAATCATTTCAGCTATTTCAGGCATGTGTTCAGGTTTTCCTGAGTGACCTCTGAGTAGCGCTACTTAGTCTCAGGTTTTCCAGCAGTTTTTGATTTGTATCTAGTTATCTCAGTTCTCAGACATGGGCACTTGTGTCAGTTGATGGCCGTCTGATCCAGCCATCGTGATCTTGCAGTTCAGGGCACATATATGACCTGACTCGGGTTGCACTGGTGTGACAATCCTGGTCCATGGACCTATGTCCTCAGGTAGTTTAGGGTACAGGCATAATTCAGACACAAATTGCAAGATCTACAGTTTGTGAACCACCTGAATCTATGTCTCCAGTCAGTTCAGGACACATACAGGAACCAGATGCAGCCCAGATGGGTATCAGTCACAGACTTCCCCAGCCTTCAACTCACTAGGGGATCTGGGCAAAGGCAAAGCTCAGACTCGCACCGCAGGTCAGCGGCTCTTCGACCACTCGCTCACTCAGCACAGGGTACGTGGGGTCTGGGAGAGTCTGCTTGCCCCATCCACAGCCAGAGAAGTCCCTGGGACTTCTGAGTGAAAACCTCCTCTCTACCACAGGAGCAGGGAGGCCAGGGCTCCGTCTGTAATGTCAGCAGGGTCCTGATTCGCACACTCTGCCCTCAGGGCATAGCTGGGAAATACCTGGCTCTCTCGGCGCGTTTCAGCTGCGAACCGTGGCAGTGTGGGCTAAGCACAGACTCGAACCCACGAGTCCAGCAGCTCCCGGAGCACTCGCTCTCTCGGCACAGGGCATGCAGGGCTAAGAGTCTGTTCACCCCACCCACGGCCAGAGAAGTCCAAGGATTTCACTCTTCATCAATTATGAAACACATAACACAGGCTCATGTCACCTCTTTACCCTGGAAGATGTAAGTCACTTCAAGGTGGAAAAAGTCCCAAGTCTTAAGAAATGACAGTGCTGGGCATGTATGCCTTCAGCCCATTAAGGGCAAGTAAGACACAGGGGGAAGACAAGGGAAGGAAACTCAGAGGTAAAATCCAAACATTTTCTGCAAGGTTAAAACAGAAGTTTTGCCAAAATCAGCATAAATTACAAGTAAAAATGGAATTGTATTCTCTTCAGCATCATACAAGCTTGCCATCTTGTGGTCAAACTAACAGTCTTGTGCCTGTTCATTGGCAATTTCTATTCTATCCCATTGTCCTGGTGAAGCAAGCCAGGGGGTATGACCAGAGTGGTGTATCTGACTATAATACAAGAAAGTAATAACAAACCATATCAAACAAATGAAAGCAAAAACAGAAAACAAACCCTAGAATAGTGATCCCTAATGTAAACATTACTCATAATGTTCTTGCCATCCAGTTTCTCAGAATAATTTCATTAACACTGCACTCAACACAGGGAGCAATCTGCCAAGTGTCATATTCTAGAGAAAAGCACTTTACAAAGAGCCAAAATGATGAGTATACAAACGCAGCTTAAGTTAGCAAGAAAAGTATCTTGATCAACCCAAGGGAAGTAAAAATAAAATGTACTGAAAATACGCTAAATATACCTAACCCAGCAAACATCACTGCTGACCTTTTGCTCCTTTGAAATTACTCAACACAAATAGCTTAATGTAGACCTGAGAAAATTTCTTCAACACAAAGCTTATTTCATAATAAAATAATAAATGTCTTATGCACTTTATTGAATGTGGTGCAGTGTAAACCCCTATTTTCCCTTAATATCCTGTTGCTTATGCAGCAGTGACTCATCGCTGCTGCCCAGCATCTTGAGCAAGTTCTGTACTGCACACTACCGATGTGAAAAAATTTTAAATTTCAAAAGTCAAAGTCAGTTTTCCACTGAATTCTTATTTTTCTTTCATTCTTCAGTTGTGGCAATTGAATTCAGGGCCCTGTGTGTGTTAAAACAAGTTACTTTTAAAAGAAGACACAGCCTCAGTATTTTTATTTTATATTTAAACAGGGTCTTGATCAAATGTCCAGATCGGACTTGGGTGTTGTACCACCCCTGTCTCAATTTCTCGTACCACTGGTATAATAGGTGTACACCAACATGCCTTACTGATGTTAGGTTTACCCAAGCCCTGTCATCCTGGGTGGTAGTGGTTATTAAAGGACCCACGTATTAGCCAGGCCTCTTGACATATGCCTCTTATCTCAGCATTCCAGGACGCTGAAAGCAAATGGAAAGCTCACCCCAGCTTGGGCAACTTAGTGAGCATTGGTCTCAAAACTCAAAACCCAAAAAGAAGAAATTAAAAGGTGTGGGGAATACAGATCAGAACAAAAGTCTAGAGTTCTATCTCTTGTACAAAAAAACCCAAAACAGCCACACCCTGTAATCTTTTGGATCCCAAACAATCCTCCCCCATCACATGTAGATGATGGTGTGTCTATCTAATTTTTAAGCCTACAACAAGGCCAGGAATTTCCATAACTTTCAATTTCCTCAAAAATGATTAGGTTGCCTGATGAGTAATAACAGAAGACACATTTATCTAACATTTAATAAGTTCTCCTTTTTCCTTCATGCCTGTGGTCTTTGACCTCTCGAACTGAGCCAGTACACAATTCTGTCAACCTAAGAACAATCTAAACTATAGCAGAAGATGCTCTCCCCACCCCAGGTAAATATTCTTCAGTTTGTTAGTTACCCAGGTCATAGCTCTAGTTACAGTTCCTGTTACTTTTGTTTCTTAGAAAGGGCTAGTCAATGTGATGCACGGTTGGTCACTAAGATGCACATTGTATAGACCAATCCCCAGTTGACAAGCCATTCTGCCTCTGCACTTCCTGCTTGCTTATCCCATATAAGCCCTAAACCCCCAGAGATCAGAGTCTGATATTTTGGGAATGATCCCCATCAGTGCCTATCGAGGTAAATAAATCTGCCTCCCAGTCCTGGGTGTCATTTCAGTGTTTCTATGTGCCATAGTAAAACCTCTGGGGAAGCCCTTATCTGCTGGAAGTGCTGATACTGGAATCCTCAGCATGCTCCCCTCTCCCACTTTTTCTTCTCCCAACTGCTTCTCCTTAAAAGGAAAACTCATTTATCCTGAACCATTCTTATGCCTTCAGGCCTTAACTCTGGGCCTCCATCTCTCCCCACCCCCCACAGTATTCTTTTAATATAAAGCCCACCTTAATCAGCACGTCAATTTTTAAAACAATGTCCACAAACAGTACAAGTAGTATAGCAATTAATGAGCTGACACCCCTCTCCACCTCCATTCCTGCCAAATCACGAGTCCTTGCAGATGCCCCAGTTCAAAGGTTTTCCCAGTGTGGTATTAACATCCAGGCCCTTTGGAAAGGTGTCCTTAGTACGGACACTTTCAACTGCCCTGCTAACACGCTAGCATCCCCTGCATTCTTCTCAGCTTTCTGAACTCTGTGAGAAGGCATCACATCAACGGTGTACTCTGAGTTGAGGCGGCACCTGAATAATTAAAATGATTCGGTTTTTTGTGTTGCCCTCTCTTCAGTGCATGCTTGGTAAACGCCCCACCACCGAGTCTCAGACCCGCCAATGGTAAAAACTGCTTTTGATTCTCACTGCCTTTATCAACACCTGTCATGAATTTGGAAATGTGGGAAATACTGGAAATTCAGGCTTTCACTGTCGTCAGGAAGGCACGCTTTCGCCCAAGAAAGGGAGAGGCGGGAAGATGCAAGTCCACCCGGCCTGCCACGGAGAGGAACGAGAGCGGGAACGCACGCCTCAACCGGAGCCGGGTCCCCCACACCCCGTCCGCCTGCACGGGACACGGGCTGTGGGCGGCGCCGCCCGCGCCTGCGCTCTCGGCTGGGGGGGCCGCCGGGGGAGACTCCGCTCTGCGGACCAGGACGGGGCGGCCCGGACCGAGCACGGGGACACGGGGCACGCGCGCGCGCCGGGAGCGCTCGGACGGTCTGCAGCCTTCCCCGGCTGCTCCCGCCTCCTGTTGGGCCTCACCCCCGTGGCGTCCCGCTCTGTACCGTCACCATCGTGGAGCCTGAGGGTCGCCCAGGGGTCCTTCCCAGCGGCACCGGGCGGGGAGAGCGCAGGAGAAGGCCGCGGAGGCAGGCGCGGGCACTGACGGACGCGCTCCGCATGCAGATTCCCCCCGCCCCTGAAACCGGAAAGCCCACCCCCCCTCCCACCTGATTGGGCCAGTCCTACGGCCCTCCTCGTACTGATTGGCTCCGGTTCCAATGCCCGCCTCTTACTCAGTGATTGGCTGCTGCTGCAGTGATCGGCTACTGCCGATCCCCTGAGCTGGGCGTGACGTCAGAGACAAGCTGTAGTTGCGCGAGCCCAGCTCTCACAGTGGGTTGTGAGTGAGAGAGCTCTGCGGCGGTGTTTGTGCCCGCGCACCCACCCGTCCTGACCCGAAGGCTAGTTGGCTTTACGCGGAGTTTGCGCCTGGTTTTTCAGAGCTGCCACTGTCTTTTTTTGAGTTTTGTTTTGTCGTTTTGTTGAGTCAGGGGCTGGCTGTGTGGTTTAGGCTGTTCTTGAGCTAACTGTATTCCAGGCTGGCCTTGAACTTGTAACCCTCCGTGAGCCACCGCAGTTCTTGAATTAAGAGACGTGCACCACCTAGCCTGGCTGCTCCTGACTTCTGAGTGGACCCGGAGGGCTCTTTGTGTTACTTCTCAGAGTGGGCTGACAAGTGTGCTAAGACAGTTAATACGGCATGGAGAAATCACAGACGTGAGGGACAGTCGGGAGTCCAAGCAGGGACAGGACGCAATGGAAGAGAGGGAGGGCCTGAATGCTGTGAGATGTCAAAATTTGGAGTAAGGTAGCTGGCTACATGGACAAGATTTCCTTACACTATCTCTCAATCTAACCATTCAAGAAAGAAAAGAATGCCAAAAAAGGAATACAATTACTGAAGAAACTAAAGGTAAATAAAAATAATATTCTGCAAAGGAGTTAAAATGAAAGAAAACAAACATTTCAGATGTTTCAGATTAACAATATGTTTTATCCAGGGTCACAAAAAAACCCCCTAAATTGTGAAGAAAAACATATTCCCAAGCAAGAGACTCCATACTGCCTGGTGTTGAGGTGAGGATACCTAAGAAATGCATCCTGTAAACTCTGTTTTCTGGAGTTCCTTCCTCAGAGCTTAAACCTGTCCATCTTTCAATACATTATATTTCCACAAGGAAAATAGTACCTGAAGTCAAGAGAAACTACTGATTAATATCTTGTTTGGCAGTTTGGCTTTAGACATGTGTAAGGTATTACTAAAGCACTTCCTGTGTGTCTGGTTGTGGCATGGGGGAGTGACATTTAGGACCATACCCAGCTTTCAGGTACTTGTTTTTTCAGTGCTTCCTGATTCTTCTATGGTAATTCCATTTCTCTTTATTTCCTTCCACTGTGATACTTCTCCACAGGAGACAAAAAAACAACAAAATTCAATCTCTGAAATCATGAGTTAAAATTGTCTTTTTATTCTCAAAGTCTTTATGTCAGCTGTTTTGTACCTGCAAACCCTGCCTCCCCTCAAAAACGAATACAATTAATATTTGGTGTTTGAACAAAATAAACTGCCCATCTTAGTTACTTTCCTCTTGCTGCTGAGACCAAATACCTGACACCCAGAATTAAGGAAGGAAAGGTTTATTTAACTCACAGTCTGTGGAGGTTTCAGACCATACTCAGTGGGCTCCAAGGCAGGGTGGCACATGGCAGAGGGCAACCATTCATGGCCTAGGAAGATAGCCAAAAGCAGCAACAGCAAAAAGGAGGACAGGCAGCTACAGGAACAGGCCTCTTTCCCTCCCTTACATTGTATGCAAACTACCCGCCCCAGGGCAAGTGTAGCACTCACATCCATAATGCCAGCGTTGGACCATGAAACAATCATAACTCCAGAAGCCCGCCTCATGACTACATTAGGCTTTGGGGGGACATCCAGATACAAACCCAAACACTGCCAAAGGCACAAATACTTTCTTCAGAATACTGTATAAGTGAGTTTTATCTAGGACTGCTCCTTACAGATTTCCTTCATTATAGTATTTCAGTCTGCCTCCAAAGGCACTTTGCATATCAAAAGTACTTTCTAAGGAGTATTCCTGGTAAACAATAAAAGCCCCTGAAAAGACATACCCCTCAATACTATTTACACATGTGTCATCTATATTCCACTGCTCTGCAGCTTGTTGCTGTCAACATCTAATCAAATCGGGGCTGGGGATTTAGCTCAGCAGCACAGCACCTGCCTGGCAAGTGCAAGGTCATGAGTTCGATTCCCGGTACCAGAGTGGGGGGAAATTAATCAAATCAAGTCTTTAAGTTAAAACAAGGAGAGTCCTTGCTTTCCTTCTGTATTTATTTAGGAAGTAGAAAAGGACTATTCTAAGATACTGAATATGGATTTAAAATATGCAAGAAATATTACTCATTGGAAAACAAAAAGGCCATGAAGCATTTCCACATGACAAAATGTATAGAGACATCTACTAAAATGTAAATTGTTCATTTTTTTCTAGGGTATTGGTGGTTCCCTCACCATTTCACTGAATGTTGTCACAGGTTGCTGTGTGCCTAGGGATTTACAGATTTTGGTTAGCTTTTTAAAACCATGTCTTGATTCCCTCACAACACTACTGACCCATTATATTATTTCTGTAATAAAATACTAAGCATCCTTTTCCCATTCAAACGGTGTAAGCCACATAAGTATTAATTCACTGGAGGGTCAATCACATCCCTCTATTTCAATTATCCATTAGAATTTATGTTACAATAAATATGGAGATATTTCAGTTGAATTCTAGGGACAGATTTACTGTGATTTTTCTCCACAGCCTGTCCTGCCACCGTAGTTATGAGAAAACACATAGAATATGACAGTACTGGATCACAATTTAGGAATTCTGATATAAGAACTTCTAAGACTCTTAGAACCTCTTAAGTGAAAATTCTGCACTTTGTACCATAAAAATCATGGTTAGTACCTGGGGAACTTGTCATAGTTTTTTGATGGGGAGTAATCAGAGTCCAGAGGGACAAAGAAATTCTTAAAAAGTGGAATTTGTAAAACTTGTCTGTTTAATTGGCAACCGAGTCAAAAAATTAAGCCTACCCATCGGACCTGTGGAAAGGGGGAAAAAGTATTGAGACTCAGTTGATAATCAAAACCAAAAATAATAAAATGAATCCTTTCATTATAGCAGAGAATTATTTACTTGTATTGGAGGACATCCTGGTCACTGAATGATATTTAACATCATCCTTGGCCTAAACACAAAAGTTGCCTGTAAAATCTATTCCCTGTCTATATCATTAGAAAAAAATATATCTCCAAACATATTCACATGGTTCCTGAAAACAAAACAAAACAATTCTGATTCTAAACTTTTCACCTAACATCTACATTTTGCACCAGGAAGGGCTACATGAAAAGATGCTCAGAATGCACAATATATATTACTTTTTTCTCTATACATATTTACCTATGATACATTTTAATTGATAAATTAATGCAAAAGTAGAGATTAATAATAGTAACTAATGCCGCAATATTGTTCTAAGAACAGCATGGTGCAGTAAATGTCACGTGGATGTGGTGCTATTCTCTGAATGCTTCACCTACATTATTTATCCTTTATGTCATGATGTGACACCATGTGATAACTACATGATAAGAAGTGACATGGATGATGGAGAAGTTCACATGAGATTCATCACGATACTTGCACATCAGAAAACTTTTGGACTATTGGGAATTGGACTGGCAGAGGAGGGGGCCAGCTAGCTCTCTGTGCGAACCTAGGAGACCCAGGGTGTGAGGTGGCCTCACTTGGACAGGAGGGCAGGAAAACCTACACTGCTGTAGAAGAGGCTGTGAGGAGTACACGGGATGGGGCCACACACTGGACCATGGCCCTGCAGAACCAGGGTACCTTCTACCTGTTGCTCTTGTAATTCATTGGGGTGTGATTGCTGGGAAAGATTTCTATAAGATCTTGGGGGTGCCGTGTAGTACCTCTGTAAAGGACATTTAAAAGGCCTACAGAAAACTGTCCCTGCAGCTCCATCCTGACAGGAATCCTGATGATCCCCAAACGCAGGAGAAATGCCAGGATCTGGGGCTGCTTACCAAGTGCTGTCAGACAGTGAAAACAAACAGTAAGATACTTATAGTCATCAGAGGTCTCATGGAGATGTTTTTCACACTTCTTTGCAGATTTTGGTTTCCTGTTTGGAGAAACCCTTAATCAGTAACACAGAAAACTTCCAAGAGGAAGTGATATTATTGTAGATCTAGAAGTCACCTTGGAAGAAGTATATGCAGGAAAGTTTGTGGAAGTAGTTAGAAACAAGCCTGATGCCAGGCAGGCTCCTAGCAAACAGAAATGTAATTATCAGCAAGAGATGAGGACCAACCAACTGGGTCCTGAGAAGTTCCAGATGACCCAGGAAGTGGCCTGTGATGAGTGCCCTGTGGCAAACTAGTGAATGAAAACAAACACTGGAAGTAGAAATAGAAGCTGGAGTGAGAGACGGCATGGAATACCCTTTCATTGGAGAAGGTGATCTTGGCGTGCATGGGGGGCCTGGAGACTTACGGTTCCAAATCAAAGGTGTTAAGCAACAAATACTTGAAAGACGAGGAGATGATCTGTACACAAATGTGACAATCTCACTAGTTGAGTCTCTGGTCAAGTTTGAGATGGACGTTACTAAATTGGATGGTCACAGGGTATATATTTCCAGGGACAAGATCACCAAGCCAGGAGCCAAGCAATGGAAGATAGGGGAAGGGATCCCCAACTTTGACAGTAACAACATCAAGGGCTTTTTTTTTTTTTTTTTTTTTTTTTTTTTTTGAGGCAGGGTCTCACTATGTAATTCAACCAGGCATTGAACTCATTATGTGGCCCAGGCTGGCCTTGAACTCACAGAAATCCTCCAGTCTCAACCTCCTGAGCAATCCTCCTGAGGATTATAGGTGTGCGCCATCACGCCTGGCTGAGGGCTCTTTGATAATCACTTTTGATGTGGATTTTCCAAAAGAACAGTTAGCAGAGGAAGAAAGAAAAGATATCAAACAGCTTCTGAAACAAGGATCAGTGCAGATGTTATATAATAGACTAT